GACTGCATTCACTAGTGTCGGAATATTAACAATTCAGGCTATGGTTTTTTTTTTTTAAACTTTCCGAATCATTGTATTTAATTTTCTTTTTATTCAATAATAAACTTATTCGACTAAATCGGCTTATCTAAAAAACGGAAATCATGCAAAAAAGAATACAGAATAAAAAAAAACGAGTTTTCGAACAAATTTTAGCTTATTGCGTACTACTTTATCACGGTAAATGCGCAAAGCCTTGAGACGCCAAAAATCCTCAGTTTACTTGTGATTTGCAATTGAACATTTATAAAAAAAAATGCGGTGAGTGGGTGCAAGGCATCCTCACTAAAGTGTGGTGGCGGGTGCCAGCAAGTAATAGCCCATACCACCCCGAATAGAGTAGTGTTCGTTAAGGAGACGAGTAAACAGCAGAAGCAAGTAACATAAGACAGGAGGGTCTGACTAGTTGCGTTCGGCTTGACAATAGATTCCGATAATATTTGCGATCCCACTCCGTCTTACTCAAGAACTGGTATAATTTAACAATGTCCCCAAGTTGTTTCATACTAGAAGTGCATATTTTCTTTAAAAAAAAGAAAAAAAGACTTCCTCCCAATAAATAGTACGGTAAGATCAGTCAATGACCTTGGAGATTCCTAATCCGGTAATTTTCCTGTAAAAAGGCTACTTCCTCATTGAGATGGCAATTCAATGAACACGTCCAGCATTTAGAACTAGAAAGAGAAGTTACGATTTCACCCTAATGACTGTGGAATTTGCAGAGATGTATACTGAGGCATTATGACAGCAGCAGTAGAGAATGAAATGTCTAAACCACTCTTAACAAAAAAACGAGAAACATCTGGATGACCATAAAATGACACCAAATTTTGCAAAAAAAGTTAAAAAAGTGCAACTAGTTGTCAAATCAAGCATTTTCTTAAAGTTGATTTCTTCTAGAAAATGAGTTAAAAAACTAATTTCTTGAATGCATATTTCCATTAACAATAAGAAACAGAAAATCTTAATAAAAAATTAAGGAACAGAATTTTTTTGTCTGTGATTTTCATTGACTGCCAAAGAACAGGAAGGAGAAAAAAAGGTCGAAAATCCACCACACAGTTGGATCGTGCGCTGCTTAGTTCGGTGATTCACCTTGGAGAATCTTCACATCCCACAAGAAGAGGAG